AGTTTGCAGGCTGGTACCTACTTGTGTTCCCTCCTGAAGCTCCACTGCTTTCTCAAGGCCTTCCTTAAAATGATATGGCTTCTTTTTTCCCCTCTGGATGGCCAGAGCCACTAGCAAAGAGCACGTGTTGCAGCTCACCCTTACATTGTAAGTACAAGGAAAAAGCCTTTCTTCCTCGTAGTGCAACAATCAAAGAACAGTCCATTAGTTGTCCTAGTAATARACCATATATGAGCAGCGAAGTGGTAGAGGGAAAAAATCCCTTCTTGATCAATGCTCTCTTTTAAGAATCCTTAATTCGCAGGGACATAGGCATTTGTATRGGGTACTACACACTTTGAAGGATCCACTACACCCACATAAGCTCACCTTTTTTTTAGCTTATATCTACTGAGAAAGGGGAGAAAGTGTAAAAAAATCACGGTTCTGATATAAGATCACCCAAGCTCCCTTCTACCTGTGCTGATGGAGCAGCTACTGCATGGCTAAACCCTAGGACGGCTTTTCTCCAAGCCAAGTCCAAGTTCTCCAAGGGTTGGAGAAAGGGCAACTGATCCAAAGACACTAAAGAGAGYGGTATCTGGACTGCACGGACCCAAAGGGATCTGCCAGAGAGATAGCCTGGRCAAGCACAGGGTCAGAGAGGGAATACATGCAATTCCTCATGGGCCTTCTGGTCCTTCTGTGTCTTGTTCTTGTTCTCTGTGTCTTGTTCTCTCCCTTGATGATAGAAGCAGCTGAACCCGGATGTTGTCTACATTACATATGTTTCCATACTGATGAAGTGAGTCCCCCCTCAGATGCTGAGCAGGTTTCCAGAGCTGGGAAATTTTGGTGCACACGGGAAGCATTAACTCTTGTTTGTTGCAGGGATAGCAGGGAKCAACAGTAGATTGGCTCCCAAGCAGTGGGAGGATGTGTGGGGGAGCACTGGACGTTGCTGGGGGCCACCCAGCCTGTCCATACCAGCTGAGTGCAAACCCCCTGGAAGCCTGTGAAACAAAAACTTTTCCTTTTTTAAAAAAATTCTTTCTCAAATCAACCTAATTACATGTTCATTGCCTGCTACTGTAGGTAGGTTGCTACTGTAGGCAGGCAACACCTAGCTGGTTGCATTGAATCCTCAGGGAGCTCCAATATAACCCTGCTATTGCTCTGAATTCTTTATGATCACTGCACTCCTTGTGCTTTGCCATTTCTGTCTCCTAGAGACCTTAGGTTTTCTTAATGATAAAAGAAAGAGTATCCATGGCAGGTCTCCTTATTGAGGGGAGTTTGGATCACGATGTGTTTATGAAGACTTTTGGGAGGGTTCAGCACGTTGACAAGATGTGTCTCTAGCTGCCTGCACTGGGGTTTATTCGTGTGAGAGGGAGGAAGCATCAGTTACTGGGATGGAGTTTGTAATTCACCTCACTGCCCCAGCTGGTGTGGGGAGTCCACTTCCCTCTTCCCTTTCTCAACGCTGTATTGAGAAACAACATTTGCTGATGTTGGCTTACCAAACCAAAGGGGGAAATAGCTATGAAATGATTACAAGGGTCATTTGAAATCTGAGAAGAGGATGTTTTTAGTAATGGGAAAAGAGCCAAATACCTTAGAAGAGAAATATCCCAGCTTTAAGAATTAATAGCCACTTCCTAGTAATGCAAGGCTGAGCTATTAAATAACCTTGCACAATTTTCTGGTTGGATACATATTAATGGGAATACTGTGCACAGATCATTCTCTGAACCGTGCACACATGGGCAGATCCTTGGCATAACAAGTCAGAGTCTATATTCGTACATCTGGTCCTGCTTCTTTTGATCAACAGCATCAAGCAATGAATGTAGTAAGAAAATCTTGTAAATTAATTATCTAGAAAATTCATTCATCAGAAAACCATTTATTTCTCCCCATTAGGTACAGGGAAAGAGGGGACCAGCAGGAAAGTAAGGTAAGGATCGATTAATTTTTTTTTTTTTTGGAAATCTGGATTGTCACTTGGAATCCAAAACTGAAGCTGAGTTGCTATTCTGAGTGTCCTGCTCTACCTTATAATAAGCTTTTCAAGTGTAATACTCTTAACGTTTGTCCAGAAGATAGCTCTTGGGAGGACTCTACAGATCCTTGGAGCAGTCTCATATCTCAGAACTTCAGCTCTCCAAAAGGAGACAAATGTCTTCAGGCCCTGGGATTTAGGAGAAAAAAGATACCGGTCTCATACCAGCGTGAATCCAATAGAAGTTGTCAAGAGCCAATGGCAATGGGCAAAAACTGACTTAAAAGGATAACTTTCCCTTTTCAGTCCATTCTGAAGCCCTTCAACCCTTACCAAGGTGGCTCAGCCCGAGCAGAAGCGAGGGAACATCCTTGCAKCATGTTCTTGGGGCTCTCTACGGAGCTGTGGCTGCTGAACCAAAACACACGCAACAGGTCAGTGCTTCAAAATCCATGAAGCCTTAAGGCATTAGATGATTTTACTTCTGGGAGGTAACTGGGCAAAATTGCCCAGCAGGGGAGAATGTTGATGGAGGAAGAGCCATAACAATATGTGTTGTCACATGCCTATGTCTCTGTTCCTGAWATCCCACTTGTCCTCYKTATCCAGAGAGGTTGCCACAAGGGYGTTTCATAGCYGGRTTGGTGGGAGGAAGGAGACRAAGGTCTGCTTTCCTCTCCTCTAAGAGAAAGGCTCTCCAGGTCTCCAGGCTGTGCCAGCTCACCAACACCTTCCTGGAGCCGAGAGAGTTTCCTGAGGTAAAACACACACCTAAACCCAAAAAGGTGATGCAGGGATTGCTTGGGGTTGTTTGGGGCACAAAGCATGTGTCCTATGAAAGCTAATGGGGATGCAAAGGTCAGACCCACTCCATGACATCCCTGGCAGGGCCTGGTCTTATCCCAAAGCACAGCCAGGCCAGGCTGACTGCCAGCTCGGGGCTGCGCAAGGACAGGGCACTTGTCCCTCCTGCACATGGGTGCTTCAATGATGAGGACTTTGGGGTATCCCAGAGATGAGCACTGCAGCCCCATGGCCAGCAAGGGTGGGTCCTGCCCTGCATTGCCCCATTCTGCCTCCACAAAGCAGCCCCTGCCACTGCTCACCAGCACGTGGCACCACACACCTCTCCTTGGGGACCACAGAAAGGACAGAGTGGGACCAGGAGCAGGTAGAAGGCAGAAACACTATAAAATAGCTCTGTCATGACAGAAAACACAACCTGGAGTCATATTTTGTGCGTGTGCAGCAATCAGCTTGGAGAAACGGTACTGAAGGTGCAAACCATCCTTGAGCATCTCAAACCAGGAACACTCATGGTGCATGCTCTATTTTATCAAGCTRCTTCACAGAGACAAAAGTTAAGGTTAAAAAATAAACATAAACAGAGGACACATCACAGTGGCATTTTCTTTGTTTACCCTATCTGGAGTATAATGAAATGATGGCTAAATAGCCAACTTCTGATTTTTCACCCCCATTTCAATTTTAGCCCTTTCAGTTTTCCYCATAACTAGACAGCCTGTGCAGCAAGTCTGAGCCTGCTAAGAATGGACTTGTCCTTAAAAACCTCTCCCCTGCACCCTTCAACTACCTGAGGCCACAGACTTGATCCTTCAGTAAAGGATTCACAGTGAAGAAATCTTGCAGATGCTTCTCAAASAGGACTTTGATTGGTGCAGGTTATCAGCATGATTTTTGCACATGCCCTCATTAAATGCAAGATATTTGACCCAGTTTGCAGTTCTCCTTTCAAGAACAGGAAACAATGCTCTGTTCCTGCAGGCCTGGAGCTGTGTCCCTTCCCTTTATGGTCCCTTTGGTGGAACAGTACAGGGTCTCTGAAGACAAGTGCCAGCACTATGCCCTGGTTTAGGTTGTGCATTTATCCTGGATGTGGATACAACTGGCACCATCCACAACCACCCAGAGCTAACATGGGTCCCCCGATGATTGCTCCCACRGCAAGGTGGTCAGAATCCCCTGTCCATCAGCATCATGGCTTTGCTCTGTGCATCATGAGTGGTCCACAACGCTTGGGGGCCAAGTGGGCAGAAGAGGCAGGTGCTGGCAAAGCACAGCAGTTTAGCTGTAGGGAGGGACAGGGACATACCTCAGAGGCACATTTGCTAAGCTCAAAACACATCTCATGTTTAGACATCTAGCAAATAATTATTATTAAAATCACTCTAGCACGATGGTGAGCTTACATGATGTTCCATGCTGCCTCTAAATAGCCGCAAAATTGCATAGGGGAAAAAAAAAAAAAAAAAAAAATATGACTCCTTTTAATTGTAGCTGTTTCCTGTTAACAGAACCTACGCATGAGTCCCTCCTATCCCACATCTCCAGAGACAGCGGCCGCAATCCCACACAACATCATCACAGATTGCTCAGCACTCCAGCCCGTGATGATTTGTATGAGAAACTCAACCATGGTGTTAAAAGCATCCAGCTCGAGAGATTCATTTTGTAGGATAGATCTATAAAGCGAGCAGTGTAGTACATCAGAAATTAAAATTCATTTGCAACAGCTTATCCTCAGGTAGTCACAAACGCTAGCAAAACAGTTTTTGAAGAGGGAGAGAGAGAGAGAGATCCTATAAGCAGAATACTTACAGGTTTTTTTTTTTGTTGTTGTTTTTTTAATGTTTAATAATGCATCCTCCCCACACATTTCCCCCCAATATAAAGCTTTCTATTTAAGGCTCTCCACGCATTTTAAAAGGCAAGTGAGTATTACATCATTGTCATCCCAATTTTACAAGCAGGAAAGGCTCAAGAAGAGAAGAAATTTGAGCAAACTGGAACAGCAAACCCCGGACCAAAATAGAAACAGAATATATAACAGTCTCATAACAAATTCCTGTTGTCCATCCACCAGAGATTTTTACTTGGTTGCTATGCAGCATTTTTTTTTATTAGAAAAATAAATATAAGAAGAGAAAGCAATGGAATAGAAGGGAATGTCAGGAAGAAAGAGGAATCCTCAACATACTTACTTCCACACTGCTGATATTAGTACAAAAATAGAGATTTTTATTAACTAGTTTACAAAAATAAGAAGTCTGCTAAGTCACATTTGACCCCTCGGTGGGGTTTATTTGACCTTGGGAGATAAAGCCTGTTTGAACCGTCTTTTTAGATCTTGCATGTTGGGCGATTTGGGCCGAGGGATGATGGACGACCGCCTYTTGTCCGCACTGCTGCCGTGGTGCATCTTGCTGACCTCCTTGCAAAGATACTGGAAAACATCGCAGACGCCGTGGGAGTTCTCACTCGTGGAAATTTCTAAGAACAGGCTGCCCAGTTCGTTTGCCAGCTGCAGCCCGTCTTTGGTCTGCACTTGCCTGGCATGGAGAAGGTCTGCTTTGTTCCCCACTATAATGATGGGAGTCCTCGTGTCCGGATGGACCTTGCGGATGTGCTGATAGAGAGGCCGAATCGACTCATAGCTGCTGTAGTCTGTGATGGAGTAGACCAAGAGGAAGCCTTCYGCCCACCTCGCACACCTGGACAGAGCATCCAGCACCTGCACGGGGTCCTCCTGCACCTGCAGTATCACASAGTGGAAACTTCTCATCGGGTTGTGAAAATATAAAGCTTTAATCAAGGGCAACACTGCTAAACATCTGCAAAGAGGAATGCGAGCTCTATCTGAGGAGATGCTAACCCCAGCTGCTTTCCTTTTAAGGCACTTGGGCTCAAAATCAGAGCCCTTAAGCAGTAGAGAAGAGCAGATTTCACCTAATCAGACAAGCCAGAACAGAAGACTTCTAGTGCTCATTCTTTGGTCACTTAGATAAACATAGTCAGGACCTTATCAGGAAGAGAAGTCAAGCACAAAACCCACCAGAAAGCTCATAACCCTGGAGAATCTACAGGAGTTTGAGTTAACAATACRTACATGCATACATATACAYACACATACATATAATAGATGCACTGATTAGCAGCAGTGTGCAGCCTCRGCACGCTCCCGTTCCCACCTGTGCACAGCCTGGCGTGTCCTGGATCTGCACGGCGACTTGCTCCCCTTCCAGGTGCACCAGCCGGCAGTAGAGCTTCCCTGAGGGGACACGGGGAGGGCAGTGAARATAAAAACACCCACCCGCGCGGCCGCCCGGCCCGGGCTGCCCCGTCCCCGCTCAGCCTCACCTGCGTTGGGCTCGTAGTCGCCGATGAAGCGCTTGGTCAGGAAGCGCACGATGAGCGCTGCGAACGCAGAGCGGCCGTGTTAGGGGCAGGGGCCGCGCAGAGCGGCGCAGGGACCGCGCGGGACCGCGCAGGACCGCGCAGGACCGCGCCGGGGCCGCGCAGGGCAGGGGCCGCACTCACCGCTCTTGCCGACGCCGCGGGCGCCCAGCACGGCCAGGCGCAGCTCGGCGCGCGGCGGCCCCGGCGCGCACTCCGCGATGGGCGCCAGCAGGAAGGGCTGCGACATGTTCGGCCCGCGCATCGGGGAGCCACCCGCTCGGCTCCGCTCGGCTCTGCCCGGCTCCCCTCGGCTCGGCTCGGTTCCGCCCGGCTCTGCCCGGCTCGGCGGCCGCGCGCGGGTTTTTGAAGGCTCCGCCGGCTGCGCCGCCCCAGCGGGGCGGCTCCGCGCTCCGCGCTCGCTCCCCAGCCAGCCGCGGAGCCAGCGCGGGGGCTGCGGGACGCGGGGGGCCCTTTCCCTGCCCCGGGTCCCCGCGGGATGCCAAGACAGAAGATCCGAGCCGCGAGCGGGGCCCCTCTGCACTTGTTCTTCCCGCAGCGCTTCCGATGTTGCGAAAGGAAAGGAAGGGGAAAGGGCTTTAGCCCAGGCTGTTCTGCTTGTCGCATATGGATACACAGCTCTGCTGCTGGGGGATTGGACCTCCCTGCTTGGCCCTGAGGTCTCAATTGGGCCCTTGGGGGTCTTTAAGGCRAAGCAAAGCTTCAGAAAACTGCTCCATCACAAGGGCACAATTCCGTCACTCTGCAGTTAGCGCCCCAGAGCCGCAGGCAGTCGTGTTTACGCAGAGATCCTTCCATGAGCAGCTGCCTTGGCTTCCCTCAAATCACTGCTGCTGCACGTGGCTCCGCAGGCTCGTGGGCTCGGATACCTCACCAAAGGGCTGTCATCTTAATATTGTTACGGGGACAACACAAGCCTGGGGAAACAACACGGAAGACCTGAGATCTTTGAGAGGAGAAGCTGGACTAGAAGGGCCAACCATCAACATCACCTGGCATAAGGGAACTCCAGGCTGCGTGGACTCAAGTGGCTAGGACAGGGCTCAGATTGACCCTCCTTGTTCCCCACCCTCGGGCTGTTTCCACACACCTTGATCCCTATCTGTTAAGAAGAGGGTCACAGGTAGCTGGCCTGAGTCAGGAGCYGAAGGCCACCAGGTTGTGCCAAGGTCCTGACTGCCAGGCCGCTCGTGTCTCCTGGAGCTGCCGCTTCCCACCTGGCGCAGACKCCCTACGGCACCCAAAAAGTGCTGGACACCAAAAGGCAACCAGAAGGGTCATACATGCCCCAGAGCATTAACASTGTGTTAATTAACAGCAGATAGAGTAATACCTTGGGAAAACATTGTGGAATAAGTTTATTATTTGTATGGTATTTGTTTATTATTTGCGTTATTTGAGTGTTTAAAAACTCCTACATTTTAACCTCACTTGCCTCAAAATTCCTACTTCAGAGCTTCCCATCATGCCCGTGAGGGCTCTTTCTTTTGTAACCAAGATTTCTCTTTTATCACTGAAAGCTTTTGGTTCCCAGAGGTTAATGTTGTTGTCAGCTGCTGCCATTGTCATGCACCACCACTTGTCTTCAGCCTTGCACACACTGCGAACACAAGCTATTTTTATGCTTTTCTTCACAAAAGAGCTATCAGAGCACACTCATTGTGCTCCCAAAAGAGCTTTATTAAAATCAGTCCATTCCAGGCAGATGATTGCCAGGTGTTGAGCTGTGAAAGTATCAGCATTATTAAACATTGTCCCCAAAATTTGAGGAACTCGTCCTGTTTCTGGGAAGCTGTAGTCCTCGTGCTGCTTTGCCTGCTGCCTGGAACATCCCCTAGGAAAATCTGAGAGGAAACTCATTTCCAGGAAGGAAAAACCTGTGTATACATCAACCACATTGAAGCAATAGACTGGATTAGTAGGTTGAAGCAGTTGGAGCACAGGTTCCTCACATGTGCAGCTCAGAGGCTTTACCTCAGGTTAGATTCATTACCATCCTTGGGGAATCAAACACTTCCCCACTCCAGGTCCTGCTTGGAACTATCCCCATCATCTACCTAAGGCCTCTCATTCAGAAACAATATTTGGCTTCATTTGTGTTCCCACTGACACAGATTGGCTGCCTGATGACATCCAACACTAGGTATTTTAGCGGAGCTGGGAAGCAGAGTTGGAGAGCCTCGAAGTCCCCATTTCCCTAAGGAGCAGATGTGCACAGCGTTTTCCTGGCAGTTCTAGCTGCARTTCTAGCTGCAGACTCACAGAAGCTCTGGGTTTAAGCTTGACAGGCCCCCATTACCTTAGAATGATGGAACCAGCAGCAGGTGCCCAGCTTTTCTGTGTGGAGGAGCCCTGGTGAGGACCTTTCCCATGAGTTGGTATGAATATAGCACCCTCCTAGAAAATTTCAGGAGCAAAAGCCCATGGATAGGAGTGAAGTTCCTGTCCCTGAGGATTCCTGGTGGTCAGTGACCGTTTTGGGTTGGGCATGGTCAAAACTGTGTCCATCCAAATAGTAGCTATCCAAACAGTGTATTTGCAACCTCAGTAACATCACCCAGCTGTCTGCACTCCGGGTTCCTGACCTGTACGGGTGTTGGTGACAGGAGCCGCGTTCCTACCGGGTGCCAACCCCACATTGGTTATGTCAACCTCAAGGGCTAAAACATCTCACCAGGCCTTGGCAGCACCTCCAGGGACAGATTCACAGACCTTTCAGCAGGCTTCACATGAAATGCTTAGAATTTGTGGCTTCCATACCATCTTCCGAATCGAGAGGGATGATGCCAGWACTCTTTCCAAGCAATGGGAAGAACATTTACCCTAGGATGCCTCCCTGCGCTGTGGGACGCATTGCTTGCATCCCAGCCAAATGCTACCCAGAGAGTGACAAGCTCAGGTCCAGTTTTACCAAGTCCTTTCTGGCCATTCGTTGAATCATGAAACCTACTGCACTGAGCTGAGCTCATCTGSTGGGCCTGGAACAAGGATTTCAGTCTTTGGCAGCTCTTTGCTCTGCAACCTGTTTGGCCACCTCAGCACAGCACCTGTTTGGGATGGCCAGCTGTCCCCTTGATCATGAGGGTCATGAAAATGTTGAGTCTGGAATCAGGCRGAGAAGGAAGAAAGCTACAAGATCTTTTTCCCCCAGGGTAATTACACCAGGAAGATTAAGGAGATCTTTGTGTCAGCTGCTTATCTGCCTCCACCAGGATGAGGACGGGAGCGTCTGTCCACGTTTCTCACCACACTCGGGCTTGGTTGCTTCATCTGGCCCTGCTGGGCTCCCCAGCCTGCAGTCTCTTCAGAGAAATGTTTTCTCTTCCCCAGAGCATTTTGCTTTTTGCTCCTTCCTGGTTATGCACAGAATTAGCACACACACTAACACAGACTACACAGCCCCCAGGAAACCTTGGGGCAAGCAACACAGTAAGAGCTTGAAGCTGACAAAAAGCCCCAGAGCCCACAAGGAACCATCACTGGACACACACATTACGTCCTCCTCATCTACTGGGCACTCTCAGATCACACCCAGCTTGCCTCTAGATCCACCCACCAAGCCAGCCGGAGGGGAAAAAACCTCTTCATTTCCTCCCCAGTGGGTGTATTCAGATAGGACACAAGGSAACTTTTTAATCAGATCTCTTCTAGCAGGGGCTGGCCTAGAAGCAATGCTGCTGAGTCCCTTGCAGTCCCTCGCTCTGTCCTCGTCTCAGCAGGTATATTTAAGTAGATCCCAGCAGCCATCCAAGGGTGTCAGGAAATGGGTTAGAGAAGGGGGAGCAGGGGACAGAAGCCCAGTCCTACACAGCCCAGCCCATGAGCCAGGCATTCCCCACGGTGTGTAGGGTGGTGAGGCTCACGGCAAGAGATTCCCAGCAGCACTGCTCCCAAAGCTCAGAGCACTGGGCAAAAGGGACCAGGATTTGGGGGGCAAGGGCTTAGCTAGGCAGTTCTAACACCGCCTCCTTGACAGTATATCCCCAGGGGAGTCGAGCTTAAACCCCAGCTGTCCTTCTAGTCCTTCCATGAGTTCACTGGAGTTGAGTCAATCCCACTCAGCAGCTCTTGGCTCTCCACCTGTGACACACAGCAGGAACCCCGCTGCCGGCTCAAGGGTGATGRAGTCCACGCACCAAAACGCAGCCACGAGACAGGTAAAGCCCAACTGCAACGTTCGGAGCGACTGGCCGTTAAACTAGACATTCTGACAGGCAGCTTCCGAAGCAACTTCATAGATCTCCCTCCTTGGTCAGGACTGTGCAAAAACAGAACAGTTACACACATGGGAAGGAGGCTCAAAGCAGATACCAAGATCTGCAAGTTATCTAAGCTGCAGTCTGCCAACCCCTGAAGCTACCACAAAGAGCATAAATACACCAAGAGTGATTAATTGGCAAAGTCTATACAGCTGTGACAGGTTGTATCTTTAGTCAATTTGTAGTTTTTAAAATCTGTAAATATCTGAAAAGATTGTTTTCTTCACACAAACTCAATTTCATTTTCAGTCATTTCTGGGAATCCAGACCAAGGGAAGAATTTCCTTCATCACCTCCCGGCCCACACACAGCTTCCAAATATGTGTTTATGAGCTTCTGCAGTCTGCATAGTGACCCTGAAAACAGACCAATTACTTGGAAAACTGTTGCTATGAACAGCACCTCGAGCAGCACACGACTGAAACTAAACTGCATAGYGTCTTTTCCTGATTTTAAATAATGCTAGACTTTTGAATTTGTCTTCAACAATCCACCACTTATTCATTTATTGTTTACCATTTTATCATGCTAAGGCCAAACCACTTTCATCTTGACAGAAAAGTACAAAACACATAGAACCAAAATAACTTACAGATGTGCACGAGCAGAAAACTGAAAATACCAAAGATTATACCCAAAAAAGCCTCCCACAACTCAAGAAGCCAAGTCTGAAGAAAAAAACGAGCCTTATCTTGCAAAACATTTATTTTAATTTGTTGTGAAAAGTTTACAAGCCAAAGAAGCTGATAAAAGGCTATGCATTAGTACACACATTTAGTTGCTCCAAAACAACCCTACCTCATCTTAAGTGAATGAACTGCAACAGTGGAGGCTGATAAATTCATCAGTCTTGCTTCAGAGAACTGTGGTGTACCCTGCACCTAACACATAGGATGCCAAGATTCAAAAAGTGTCCCTGGTATCACAGATGAGCCTGGTCCACCTTGTCAAGGCAGTTTCCAAGTCTAAGTCATTCCCACAGCTCCAGCTCCTGAAATGAGTGTCTGGAGAAACAGCAACTGCAGCACCTGCTCATGGGTCTAAGAGCTTCTGGTGCTCAAAGCCTCTTGTCCTGCAGTGACAGGCCGAGGCACAGGATGATTTCTATATCTAGGCACTACATTCCATGAGCACCATAATCCAGGGTCAAACAACTGTGAACTAGGCTTAATTCCTTCACTTAGAAGCAATCAAATACCTACASTTTTATACTTCTGCTTAGAGCAGCTCTACAATTAAGGGAAAAATCAAGCCTTAGCACCTCTCCATTTCTTACTCCCAAACCAGTTTTTCTACAGCAGATTATTTCAAYAGTTTTCAATAGCCAGTACCTACAAAATGCTCCAGGTCACCAGCTTTCTTAGGATTTTACCCATGTGGAGATTAGTTCAGCATCACTTACTTGAGGAAGCTAAGCAGTGCTTCACATCACACCTAGGAACAGAAGATGTCATCCTTATCCCAAGAGTTATGTTCWGCTTATGCATTTTCAACGTTAATTGAGCAAGTAACCTTGGCAGTTTCCTTAGTAACCTTTACACGGTTTCATCCACTGCCCCCAAAAACTAAAGGAAGAGTCTGTAAGTAGCGAGCTGAAACACTGGGCAGGCAGCACTGGGATCAGTTTCCTATGGTATCAACGAGCACAAAGAAAGCATTACAATAAATACTTGGAGACACCCAATTACCTTTTCCACACAAAATCCAAGTATTCAGCTATGCAGGCTGATTACAATAAACATAAAAGGAGAGACCGTTTTGAATGCAGAAATTTGTTTCTCAACTAATACTTTTTCCTAATGTTTCCTGGCCTGAGGACACTCTTAGGGGTTACAATAATGGTACACTAAAGCACACCCACAATCATCTCAAAAGAATTTTATAAACTGTGAATCAAATGTTCCTTTGTTTTAATCTAAGTCCTTTAACCAAAGCTTTATCAGAAGTGAGATCTGAAGCCTGTTATCTCTATTTCCATAGAAAAATAAATCCTGAAATTACACTGTACAAGCCTTGTACGTGCTCTCAGTTCGCCGGTGAAATATTCCATGTCCTCTCACATTACCTCAGGAGGTAATCGACGAGGGATGATCATCATTGAGCACTAGCAAATTTCAGTGTCCRAGATTTATAGTCTACATAAATGACCAAGGAGATGAGCAAGAGCTGCAGATTATCTAGCAACCTAGCACCAYGCGAGGCAAGTCAAGCAAGTAACCTGTAAAATGAAGTGTAGGTTTTCTGAAGCATCTGTTTCAAGAAATATTGAAAGAAATCAGCAAACCACCACATATACGTGTCCAAAACCAAATTTTTAATTTAGTTTTTTTTTTAAACATACATTATGCCATGAATTCATATGGAATTGGCTCCAGCAGCTCTGGCTCCTTGCCATTGGTTCTCACAAAGTGTGCTTCCCTTGGCGGAGCCGGCTGCAAACAAAAGAGAAAGAACTCACAGAACTGACACGCAAAGCAACTTTACATAAAACTTAACTGATATTTAATTGACAGTAATTAACATTTATAAACTTATAGAGCAATCTCATTCTTCTAGTCTCTTGAAAGTTTGCTATCAGAAAGACTAAAACTATTTGTGAGAAAGTGTACCTTTCATTGCTTAGGCTTTACCCTCTGCRATTTATTAATTCAAGTTAACATGAACTCATCTACACTTTGGTTCCAGAAAGAATCTTTTTCTTCTCTCTACATTTTTCTTATTTTCTGAGAAGAGACTACTGCAGCTAAATTCACCCAACTCAAAACCAGGACTTCTGCAATCAATTTAAACCTCTCCTGGAGGTTATCAACCCTCCAGGAGTCATRTCAGAAGAGGAAACACTTGACATCCATGGCTGTGAACAAGACCTGTTGGATGGTGCAGYTCTGCTATGGCACCAGACACAGGCAACACCTCAGACACGGTACGTGCTGGCTCCTTACTTCAAGTGAGCAAAGGGAAGTGACCAAAGTTAGGGTGGTGGCATTAGGCCAATCTGCCCTAGCCCTGTTTTTTTTCAGAATGCTGTAAGCATTCATTAATGCTTTCTTCATTTTCTTTTAGAAAGGAGTTAATTTTATAGCAAAAATAGTCTGCTGTTTTGAAACAAAACATCTTTATCATTTGATTTGTGTCATTTGGATATTTTCTCTTGTGAACTGAATCAACAACGTGCCCATCACAAAATAAAAAAGTACCTGACGTTTCAGCTGAACCCAGATGCCTTTTTCTTTTGCTTCCTTTTTCTTCCTTTCATTCTCTTTCACACGCTGCAGGAAGCTGTCCCTGCTCTTTGAATGTTTAATATGCTCAATACGCACATTAATTCTCTTGGCAAGAATCTTGCCCCTGGGGAAGAAAAAAAAATATCATGTGTTAACTCACTGCACTTGCCATCTCAAAGCTAGTTTTATGATTATTACACAAATAACTCCAAAATCTCAATTCATTTTTCTTTTAAAAAAATGAAAAAAAGGATCATTTTTCTTTAAACAAAGATGTATTTAAAAATACATTGCTGCAGACGTGATTGACTACATGCAAATGATATATAATTTATGTAACAAAGCATACTAATACATGACAACATGATGAAAGCTGAGAATTAAAACTCTGCAGAACAAGTAATTTTAACCTTGCAGCATTCAGAAGGATAATTGTACCTATTACTATTGCAGTCCTCGGAGGAAAAAGATTATGTCCTTTCCTGACTAAACTGTACAAAACACAGCTGAACACAACTACATGGTACTATTTAAAATACATCTCAGTCTAAGTGTGATAGCTGGCTGAAAATCTCCTTCAAGTACTCCTGTTGCTCAGAAGATTCAAAATTGTTTCCTCTGACAGGATCCAAGACAAATGACCACCATTTGCTTGGGTTATAAAAAGGACACATACTTTACCCACCTTGAATGACCAATGAAGACAAAAAGGGTCTTATTGGCAAAGTGAAAGGAGGGTGCCATTACAAACCAGCTTCTCCAAATACAAAACTTTCCATGAACAGAACTGCAGGACTTACTTAACCTTCTTGTTCACAATGATGCCCACAGCATGCTGAGTAACGTTATATACCCGCCCCGTCTTGCCGTGGTAACATTTGTGCGGCATCCCTTGTTGAACGGTGCCCATACCCTGTTAAGAGTTAAATTGAGAATGAAGCGTAAGTTTTAATTCAGAAGAAAACAGCAGTAATCCTAACAGCCTGTTTTTCACAAGCTAGGGGAAAGTACAAATCTATGTGAGACTGATTTTGAAGCAACCCTATCTTATTCATACGTTTTAATTTGTAACAGCGTATTTTTTATCCGAAGGCTAACAAATTCTCCTGCAACAATTCTGGTTGCTTTCAGTGCCGGTGAAATGATTTGATCACTTTACTTTTAGTGAAGCAATCATAGGAGACAATCATCATCAAGCCCCAGAATGCCAGGCAGTGTTAACTCCTCATCAAGGTAGTTCTCCAAAAGCAAAACAAACCAAGAACAACAACAACAAACAAAAAGTAAAACARAACAGAAAACTGATTTGGACAACTGTTGCGCAATGTGTTTTTTTTCCCCCTCAAAATAAATTAATGAAACTAAAGACTTCGAAGTCTGATTCCTCAACAAAACATTTCAGATTCTGTAAAATTTAATTTTGAAAGTATAGTTGTTTTAGAAAATAYGASATAATTAAGATAAACRCTGTATTTATTTTTCTGTAGTATCATACATGCTCTCTCCTCACATAAATGTTGTGGCTTCCAGTTAATATAGCTTCCATACKTGCATTTATTTTGGCAACTGCTATCACGCCATAGACCACAGCTCTTCCAAGTAAGATACACTTAGCAAAGCCATGGCTGGGTTCACTGTGAAGACAGTGCTAACAGGCACCACAAAGGAGCACCAGCATTTAAGGGTGCATAATGTSTATACATCACACTCACAACAGCATACGTTACTGTTGTTTCAACAGCGCTTTTACCCCAATATTGTTTCAAAAATTACTTCGGGCGAGATGYGATACGAACAGGAAAAGCTACATCAAGAAAGCAGGAGCTGGAAATGACTAYGCTGCACTGCGGATGGTACCTTGATATCAACAATGTCGCCCTTCTTGTAGATGCGCATGTAGGTGGCCAGAGGGACAACGCCTGTGGAGAGATAACAAATTTGGAGATTTATGAGGGTTACAAAAGGAAGATTATGCATCYGATGGCCACTCATTAAAAAAGCTTCAAATTTAAATTTAAGATGGGCAAAACTGAGAAGAGGCATTTTTTTCCCCCTAGTAACTTTCCACACATTACCAAATGGTTTAAAAAAAAAAAAACAGCAACAAAAGCAGATTAAGAGAAATTTCCTGAGAACTAACTTCAGAAACTTACACATTTAACTTCTTTTCAAATGCATAACACAACTATTTATTACTTTACTGCTAAGAAGCAAACTGTACATTAGAAGTATATACGACTATTTTGAATTGTTCTCACTTCACGCTTCAGATTCATACYGAAGCAAATGAATTAGCAAATGGCAGAATCAGTACTGCTGGTACCAATACAGTGCTGTTAAGAAACTATAACACTATCGCGTAAGTTATTACAGCTACTACAGAAGTTTTTTTTTTTTTAAATTTACTTTTTTTGGTCTAGGTTGTTTGTTATAAGCCAATGTTTTCCAAATGCTACCTAAGGACAGCTGACATCCAGCGGATGAGGTTAGTAACTTAATACAGTGCATTTATTACAAGGGGTACATACCATGCTTGCGGAATGGCCTTGAAAACATGTAACGCGTCCCCCTCCTCTTCCCCTTTGTGTTCGTCATTTTGGCTGATTACTCTGAAAAATTAATGCAGACTATTCAGTTATTAGGTCATTCCCTAAGACATGACTAACATAACTTCATTCATTTTGGGGAAAAAAAATAAAATAAGTTTTTAAGACTACTAACGACTGCAACACCTTCAAATGCCTGGACCAGGCCAAACACTATTAGCTCAAACACACATAGACAGCAGGGGGGTTGGGGGAGGAAAAAAAGAAGTTGAGTATTCATAGAGATTTAGGGAATATCTCAGCTTAAAAGGTGGCTAAGAAAGTCATCTATACCAACTTCCTCCTTAAAACAGGGCCAACCACAAAATCAAACTGTGGCTTTTGCCCAAGGCTTTACCCCACCAGCTATTAAAACTCTTGGGGGCTGCAGAAACAGCACAGTCTCCCAGGACAATCTCGTGCTAGGCCCGACGCTGCTCGCAGTGGAAGTTTCCCCTAAATCCACCCCGAAGCYCTCAGGCTCCAGCTAAGGCCTCCTGCTCGCCCGGCCACCACGCGCCCGTCAAGGCCTGGCTCCATCTCCTCCCTATCCTCGGGGAGGCACCGGGGGACACCCCGCTGCAGCCYGGGCTAGCCTGGCTCCCCCGGCCTCTCTTCCCAAGGGAACAATCTCCGCACAGCGGCTCCCACCCCGCGCCCGGCCCGGAGGCGGCTCGGCCCTGCAGCCCCGCTCCCCGGCCGCGCTCCGGCCCGGCCTGCACCGCAGCCCGCGGCCTCCCCGCTCCCTCCGGCCGGCCCACGACAGTTCCCGCTCCCGCCGCCACGCGGGGCGGCCGCGCGGGGCCAAGGAGGCACCTGAGGGCGGCGAGCGGGGCCCGGCGCGGCTCCCCCGCGTGTCTACAAAATGGCGGCGCGGGCCGAAAGGAGGGAGGCGGCGCCGGGGCCGCCCTTAACTGCGGGGCCTTCGCGGGGCTGCCCGGCCCGCGCCTGACTGCGCGCCTGCGCACGCGCACGAGCCCGAGCCCGCCCGGCGCCACGGCGGCCGTTAGCGACGGCCGTTAACGGCAGCCGCCGCGCGTGAGGCGGCTGCGCGGCCCGGGGCTGGAGGGGACGCGCGAGAGGAGCCGGGTGTCTGTCCGGGCTCCCGCGGGGGCGCCGGGCCGCGCAGTGACTAGTTGCTCACTTGCTCACTTGGACTCTTGTAGCCGAGAAGTTGTTCTCGGCCGTTAAAAACGGCTCCCTGAAATTCAGATTTCCAGCACTGTGAGCTGTGACATGCAGGTCACAGCCGCCTGGCTTGATATGCTGGCCAGGAAAGCACCGAGGGAGATGCAAATCCACAATCGGCAGAAGAGGCTGGCCAGCCGGGTGCTTTTTATTTATTTTTTTTTAATAAAATGACATAATCTCAGACTTGCAATACCCAGAGGTGGGTATTCAGAGCAGTGCCAGGGGCTTGCATCAGCTGCGTGGCGCCGTGACGCACTCAGTGCATCATGATCGCTGGTGCCGGCAGGAATTACAGCAGGAAGCTGAGGGGAGGCTGGAATGAGTCAAAAGAGGGGCTCCCTCCCGCGAGGGCAACACGCACAGGCTGCCCACAACCTGTCACAGCGAGAAGCTGCCCTGCTGCAGGGTKTTTTCATTTGGAATAAGAGAAGCACTTATTTAATCTAGGGGAGGGATGATTATTTAAAGCATATAAAAACATACTTGATCCGCTGACTAACTGCGCGGTTATTGTAATGTTGCCTTGCAAAACTTGGGTGTAAGGCTTTTCTGTCATCATTTGGAAGCTAGTTTAATATCTGTGGGTCCCAGGAATGGATAGAGTGTTAAATTATCAGGTTCTGCTTGCAAGACTAGTTAGCAGAGTGTTATGACATAGGCCTTGTGTATACACAAAATCTCTTGCAATAAAATGTTACAGTATTCTGCGTATATTCCATCTTAGCACCATGGGGAAAACAAAACAACGACAAAACAGAATTTATAACACCTCACGCCTACACAGAAAAAAATCGGTATGATTTAGTAGGAATTCAGCCTAGATACCATGAAACTTTTCGGAGTGTGAACATRCCTCCAAGCTGAGCAGCCCTTTGGGAGGGAGGAACAGAAACAGAAATACAGGGAGGACATCAAGCAAAGTGAAAATGGAAAGAGAAGTACTGAAAGACCCTATGGAATAATGCAAAATTGGCGTTGTCAGTGAGATGAACTCCTTTTCCCTTGTCAGTGATTTACTGAGTGGGGAATAATGAGGAAGAAACTCACTACTACATATACAGCATGTAAATGTACTTTGTCAGAGAGCAATAAGCGTGAATTTAATTGAGCTCTGCTTCATTTAGGGCCAAGTAAGAGATTCAGAATTTTCCTTTTTTTTTTTTTTTTATCCTAGAATAAATTGCACAACAGGTTTGTTCAAAGCTTCAATAAATGATTTTATTCTTTTTTTTTCTTAGTAGCACATTTCCTAGGATTCTAGTTCAGAATTTCAAAGAAACTATTATGTGTTACCAGTTGTTCCCATATAATTTGTTCCCACTGGCCTTGCTACGTTTTATTTTGAAACCCATTCTCTCTACCAAAATTTTACCTAGTTTCCCCAAGCTGTGGCCTGCTAAGCACTTAAAGATAGCAAAGSCTATATATGCTAAGGACATCTTAATACATGATAGAGAAGTCCTTATGTTTATAAATATGTCTGCAAGGTTTGGGGTGAGTCAGCATTCAGCGAAGCAGAGGCAGACAAGCAAACCCAGAGCTGGCCGGCAGCTCCACGCTCCACATGCTCTGCTTCTCATCGAATACTGAGCCCAAGCTGCTCTTTTCCTTTGCATCTGTCATGGTCCGATTTTCAATTCTGTCCCCCATGCTCTACAGAAAAAAAAAAAGATTGTGTTCCAGAAATCCCAGCGTTGGTATCTGRGTGAACATGAACCATCAGCATGGGACCTTTCTAGATGTTTTTGTCTAGWTCTAGTACGTTGTGGAGTCTAGAGCACCTGGTGACCTAGAACTCCACAAAGGTCCTAGCCTGGTGCTCCGCTTGCTAGGAATCATAGTCTGTGGTAGYCTGAGAGCATTTGCCAACACTTCGTGTTGCCGTCCTTCCTCAGCATCAATGTGTCTACAGGAGGTCTACAGAGAAGGAGCTACATCCTTGTAGTAGGGGTTAAAATATAAGCCCTCAGGCTTTGACAAAATTCCTTCAGGAAAACCAACCCTATTTCACTGATAACCTATAGAGAGGTTTTGGTTTTCCGACCTCCCTGGTTTTCCTGTGCATTCACATACCCCTTCAGTTCTTAATGAAGTCATAGCCTGCCTTGGGTGTAAAGGAGGAGAAGAAAAGCAACTTGGTGCAAATTTTAAGGAGCTTGGGGAAAGGAACGTGAGTGGGAGGGCTTATTGTTACAGCTCAGAGAAGCAGGGACTAGATAAGCATCACTTTGTTTTTTTTTTTTTTTTTTTTTTTTTTTTTAGCATGTAAAACCAACATTTTCATTTACCACATTTCCACTCTTAGGATACTGAGATTTCCTTTGGGAGAGCCCCGTGTTGTTTTTGCCACTTCTCAGCAGCATCCATCCAGCCAGACATTTATAAGATTTCTAAAGAATAATTGAGCTGTGGTGAATCTGCACATGGGGTTGTCAGGAATCCTTCCCTGATGCACAGTGGGATCTGGCTCRCTCCAAAATCCAAAGGACTAAATGATACACACTGAGGTCTAGAGAGGGATATTCCATTTGTACCACGGCATRGTGAGAATTTAATGAGTGTTTATAATGGACTTTGAAGTAAAAAATAAACYATAGTTGCTTTGAGTGGGGTGTGAGTTTCAGCTGTTTTTCACATAATACATCCATCAATTTGAAGAAAAAAAAAAGTGATTATGACTGGAGCAAAATWTGAACAGCAATAATTCAGAGGAGATGCTATGTACAGAGGATCCCAGTCTGCTCCTCTTGGGATAGCACTGAAAGAGCAAGAGTCTAACCTGGAAATGACGTTTATGAAGTTAATCCTTTGTGCTGAGTGTAGCTTCCTGGAAGTGCAGCCCCGTTCTGTGATCACAGAGTCCAGAGTCATCGGTGGCATCTCTTCATTTGATTCAATCCATCCACTGTGGCCTTTCAACGTGGCCTCTCAAGGCCGTGCTTTGTGTCTTTTCATAGATGCCTTTAGCCTCTCAGCGATTCTAGCTCTAACAACCTTTTTACTTCTGCTAAGCAGTCCCGACCCCTGAGCTACAGCACCCATTCTGTAAAGGGCAGCCAGAACACAGTTTTATGGGCATTTAAATAAATAAAATTTGGGGCWAAGCAGCACCTCGCCGATCAAAAAAATGGTTGGTCAGCTGAGCTTCTTGAATAGGCTCTCTGTGGCCTTCAATAGACACACGTGCCACTACAGGTACAGGTACAGTAAGCTGAGTTTCCAGGGAGAAAGCCACTTCATGGAGAAAGGAAKGGAAAATAGGGACAATGTGCCTTTGAGAGAAATGAAAGGGCTAAAAATGTGGAGGCCAAGAATTGTGATGGTGCCAAACGAATCACWCATGTTACTGAAACTTTTCATTACTCTGGGGTTACTGAAACATTAATTGCTAATTCAGAATGTTACTAGATGCTGGTAGTTTTATACTGAAGCCAAACAAATGGTCTTTTTTTTTAATCCTTATTTCTGACCTTGCCAAGTCTGAAGTATCGAAACGAATTTTGTTTTTCAACTAATTATTTGAATAATGTGAYAATTTACTTGTGCATATGTGTATATACATGTATAGTGCAGTGCTCCTAAAATCTTAATTCCTAATTGTATTCCTTCTGCATTTCCTTGGTGTATATATATATTTATTATTGTATACTATATTATTACCGTACAGTAATCATTAGGAACACGGGACTATAAGGAACCTGCTGTATAACTTTAGATCAGCTCCTCACAGATACAAAATAATATAATCCATTAGTAAATTTATCAAACTTAGTTTTATAAGTACTAAGTGTCCCAGTCCTCTCTTGTTGCCCTTRCCAACTGAGTGGCCCTTCAGGAAAATGATTTTACTAATGCAGTGTGATTTTTGTTTGTTTGTTTGTTTTYCCATCTTCTTGTAAATGGAATTACTTTTCGAGGTCACCTGTCTTTGGGTAACCTCCCCTGAGCCCTGCCCAAGGAGCGAGGACCAAACAAGTCCTACTGTTGTTGGTCGCACAGGTAGTTATTTGGACAGAAGGTGATTTGCCTTCCCTGGTCAGCACGGTCAGTGGTTACAGATACTTTTCACTTCTCTGTCCTAGAGGAACTGAGCTGCTGCCAGCAGTAAATATTTATAACTGGGGAGGTTTCTTTTTTTTTTTTTTTTTGATGATAATAAATTGAGGTATATAGTTAATCAGGAAAATATATGGGAAAATAAAGGGGTTTTGATCTTTCACAATCTCCTTCAAGCCCTTCCCAACTATCTGGGGAGCTAACAACTACAGCTTAAGAGGTACTGGCTCSCTGTTTAGGATCACACTGTTATTTCGACTTGTTTACTTATATGTAAACTTAAGTGTATTTCTATGTGTACTTTTAGCTTTAAGAGTAGTGAAGTGAACCCCTTTTTCTGCGTTTATTTACACAGAAGAATGTTATCTGCCTTGCACCTTCATTTTACTAAGCTAAATGATGCAGGTTCTTGCAGTCTCCACATCCATTACAGGCTCTGTGCACTTGCTGCCATTCCCACACTGACGTATCTGCCAAATATCACTGATCAGAACTGTTACCTTTCTTACAGCATACTGATTATCAATGAGCTACTCCCTGTTACTACCATATATGATCACATTCTGTGAGATATGAAGCTCCAGGGATAGGGGTTGTTTATTGGCTGTAAATCTTGCATGGATTGTTGTGA